CTCCTTGCATGGAGTTGTCAAGAGCAATAGTCCACAGCAAGCAGTGGCTGTGGAACTTCACAGAGACAGAAGCCAGGGACAGGCCACCAGCTCATTCCCTGCCCAAGGCTGGACTTCAGTGACCTAAACAAGTCCTTTTCTTGCAAGATTTGGCTCCCTGCTCATACTCTGCAAGTAGTCAAGTAAGACACTTGCCAAGTGCACCTGATCTAATGAGTCATTCCCAGCACTGTGCTTTGCTTCCCTGCACCTAATTCCAACCCTCCATGTCTGGCAGCCTTTGGAACCACTGTGCTATCATGTGTCTAACAAGTGGTACCACATATTACCACCCCAGATAAGCTCTAGCACACATAATAATTTAAGCCATGCTTCCCCCATCCAAATTTGTTCTGTCCTCAACATCAACATGTAGTGGAGATTGCCTGGGGCACACGGTCAGCCAGCTGGAGATGGGCCAGTGTGTGCCCAGGTAGCCCAGGAGGCCACCAGCATCCTGGCCTGGGTCAGCACTACTGTGGCCAGCAGGAGCAGGGCAGGATTGTCCCCCTGGGCCGGGCACCGGGGAGGCCGCCCCTCGAATCCTGGGGGCAGTTTTGCACAATTCACTCCCAAAAGGACCTTGAAGGTCTGGTGTGTGGCCAGAGAAGGGCAACAAAGCCCTTCCTGGGTCCATCCTGTTGGTCCTGTGGCCACACGAGGGGTGGTGCTTGTGGTTTGAGTGCATGCAGGCATGTGGAACGAGTCCCCACAAAAGAAGGATGTTGTTTAAACTGATATTATTTACTTGAAAACATTACTGCCATAGTTTCTTGGCTGAAAACAAATCCTTCCTTCCTGGATAAGTTACCCTGGGTGCATTGAAAGCAGGTTGCAAGGTGCCCTTGGGCAGCTGGGCTCTCCCAAGGCACGTCACCTGCTGCTGGCCTGCAGGAGCTGCTGCTTGGCCACCTTGACACGCTGGTGTCCTTCACAAGCCTGGGCTGTTTGTCCTCCCCTGTCACCCATCCCTGCTGCTCTTGGCTGGAATGTGCCAGGACACGAGGGCTGGGCCCTGGGATGGGCTCTGCAGCAAAGCTGTGACTTCATCCTCACTGAGGTCACTGCAGCAGCACAAAGCACCTTTTTCCTGGGGTCCCTGGCGTCGGGGGTTGGCAGGCACTTGCTGTGCACGTTGCTTTGCTTGTTCCACTTCATGGGGTGTGGGTTGAGGGAGGGGATCCTGCCCCCCCTGCAGTGCTGGGGCAGCTCTGGAGTCCTCAGCACAGCAGAGCCAGGGAG